GTGAGGCAGCGACGAGGCTACACACCTTCTCGTGGATATGCTTGTCAGCATCGTGCTTTTCGATTGAAGAGTGAGACATGGTCACGTCTTCGAGGGGGGAACGGTGGACCCAGGAAGAGGGAAGATGAAAAGCCTGAAGAGCAAGAAGATTGGAGATAAGGAGAACATTTTATAGTGAGACGGTGAGCGGTGAGTAGAACTGAATAGTCTCCTGGGGACAATTGGCTGAGCCGGACGAGGATGCTATTGGGAGATCGAAGGAGAAAAAAAGCTGCTAGTATACGCCGACGATAGACCGCAGACACCAGTTAGTTCATTTAATACGGGGTAAATGCGGAGAGATAGCTTACCGTGAATAACACCGATTGGATCTAATGACTGTCCCCCACTGTGCCTATCCCCTCGAAGTTACACCGTAGAACTGACGCAGTTCCTTCTTCACTCTACCCTTTCTGCTCCCCACATTCAGAATACCCTCCAATCGGGATATCTGCCATCAAATTCTGTCACTAAAATGAAATTGCAGTGCGACTATCGATCTGAATGGTCAGCGACAAGCCGTTCGCTCTGTCGGATGCTTTGGCGGCTCGTTCGTATTCGTCTGGGCTGGGCACTCGAAATCGTCCTTATAGCGCTCTCTAGCGAATGTGAACCTTCAAAAGACGAATATCACGTTCACGAATCCATCCTAGAACTCGACCATCATCTTCATGACCACCATCTCGAAAGACTTGACCGAATCCTGGTCTTTTACTCAGCTCACTGGGCAGGAGAAGAATACTCCAGACAACAGGGGTACCGAAAAAGACGAGTGGCTGCCCATCGAACGTATCCCAACGGGCGTACACGAACAATTACTCCAGGTCTCCAGAATCCCGGATCCCTTCGTTGGCGAGTTGTCTTTCTCTCTTTTTCCTCCCATTGGGCGCTGTCGAACCACGCTCTGGATCATCTCTTGTGACGTGCATGCCGTCGGCCCTTAGGGCCCCTCTATCTCCAAATTGGCCAGGCGATGCTAGGCCGAGTTGATGTAT